CCATGAGTATACACTTGCCGAATATGTGGTTGTTTAGTATGATTCTGCATTGGAGGAAGTGAAGGCTCAATCGCAACAGGTGCAGCCAAAATGGGATCATCAACTAGAAGAGGGACCACAGGAGAAGAGGGAGACACATCAAGACACGAGAAAAATGGCACTAACTCAAAAATTGTGACATCAGGACAAACAAACGAAGAGGAATAGCACTTATACACATTCTAAGTCCTATAATAGCCAAGGAAGATTCACTTAGAAGAACGTGCATCTAACTTGTCTAAACCAGGACCTAGATTATGAACAAACACACACACCCAAAGATCCTGGAAGTCAAAAGGATATGGAGACAAAGTGAGAACCAAAATAGAAAAAGCAAAACGACCACCAAGGATGAATGAGGGCATCCAATTAATGAGAAAACAAGTTGTAAGCACAGCATCACTCCAAAACCATTTAAGAACATTCATATGATGGAGGGACTGAGTAGTTTCAAGTAAATGTCAGTTCTTCCTTTCAGCCACCCCGTTTTGTTAGGGGGTGGATGCACAAGAAGTCTAATGAATAATGTCATGCTGCTCCAAATATTGTTGAAATGAAATAACAAAGTATTCTTTGCCATTGCCTAAACAAAGAACTTTTATTGGAACACCAAATTGTGTGTGTGTTTCAGCATGAAATATTTGGAAAATAGACAATAATACATTCCTTTCTTTCATTAAATAAATCCATGTCATTCTGGAACAGTCATCAACAAAAATGACAAAAGGACTCAACATACGACTATCAACCATAGGACTAAAGGAAACCCGATGTTGTTTCCCATACTGGCATGACTCACACTGCAAAGAAGAAAGACGACTTAATGAAGCAACAAGTAGCTTGAGAGCCTTGAGAGATGGATGACAAAGCCCGCAATGCCACTGGAGAGGAGTCAAGAAAATTTGAATTGCAACTGTAGATCCACCACCGTCAAGATAATACAATCCACCAACTTCATGCCCTCCAACAATCTTCTTCCCTGTCTTGAGGTCCTAAAAAACATAAGAGGAAGGGTAAAAAGTGATAGAACAATTAAGGGGCTTGGTTAATCTACTAATAGACATAAGATTGAATGAACTTTTGGGCACATAAAAAATAGAGGATAAAGAAAGAGATGCAATATCAACATTACGAACACCACAAATGGCGAAAGTGGAACCATTGGCTAAGGTAACAATTTGTGATGTGGAGGCTTGAGAAAGGGAAGAAAACACACCTGGAGTCCTGGTCATGTGATCAGAGGCTCCATAATCAATAATCCAATGGGAAGGTTTTGATGCCAAATAAGCCAAGGTGTTTGACCAATCTGCTGAGTATCACCCACTTCACCACCACTAGCAACCGCATGATTAGCCCATGTGGATGGTGGGCCACGTATATCATAACATAAGTTAATTGTGTGTCCTTCCATTCCATAACGTGTACACTTTCTAGTAGTGCTACCTCTTCCTCTGCCACGGCCTCCCCCTAAGTCACGACTAGACCTGTTCATGGGCTGGGTAGCCTGATGGCCCGGCCCGCACCCCGGTCGGGCTTGGTCATGTAATTAGACCCGCGAGCCTGACCTCGGGCCTAACACAGTAAGCCCGATTGTGTTTCGGGCCGGGCTCGGGATTTGCCAAAAAAGCCCGGCCCAAGCCCGGCCTGATTCAGCACTATATATTTTATAAAATACATAATGTGTATTTTATATATTATATAAAATATATAAATAATATAATATTTATTGAAATATATATATATATATATATATTTATAATTTAATATATACATTTTTTATTTTTTTCTTTATAATTTCTCTCTCTCTCTCTCTCTATTCAACCGCTTCAGTAGTAGTAACAGCATGGGTTAAATTTCGGGTTCGGGCCCAAGCCCGAGCTTCAGGCTTTTTATGAGGGTCGGGCTCAGGCCCAAGTGGCTCGAGCTCGGGCCTTAGAAAAATCTATTAATACAGAGTGAAAGCTCGGCCCAAGCCTGGACTGGCCCGGCCCGGCCCGGCCCATGAACAGGTCTTGTCACGACCTCCACCACTTCCACCACCACAACCAAACATGGGGGTACCATGACCTCCTTGAATTGCACAACCTCCCCCTTTATTTCCACGACCTCCTCCTCTTGCTACAACAAACACTGATCTATCAGAAGTTCTAGTACTCTCTATGGGTCCTAAAGAAATTCTACAGAGATGAGCAAACACTTCCTCAAGAGTAGGAAAGGCAAATCCACCCAATATTTGTGCTTTGATTGGTTCATACTCCGACTTCAGCCCTACCAAGAACCTGGTTACATCAAGTTGCTCCCTCTGTTGTTGCTAAATTTTGGCATCTAAGGTTAAGGGATGATAGACATTAAGTTCATTTCTAAGATTTCTCGTACAGGCATAATACTCTTCAAGGGCCTGATTTCCCTGTTGCAAACTAAAGTACTCCTAATAGAACTGATATACTCTTGTAGTATTGCCCTGTCTAGAATAAAGTTTCTTAGCATGATCTCATATTTCCTTGGTTGTATTTAAGAACATAAAGTTTAGACTTATCTTGGGTCCCATGCTATTCCATAATCATGTCATAATTTAAGCATCTTCTTGCTCCCAATCACTAAACCCCAGGGGTTCAGCCTATGGTTTCTCCTCCTTCACATGTTTTACTTTCTTCTTATCCCTAAAAAAACCTCCACCAACTTGGCCCATGGCACATAATTTTCACCATTGAGTTTAATTGATGCCATCTGCACACTTAGAAAATCGGAAGGATCATCACACTGGATTTTTTATCACCACCAACATCTCCAGTTGCTGCCATCATGTTCTCAACTCAAGAAACTGTCACTGCCCTTCCTAATAATTTTCGGCATTGAGTTTAATTGATGTCATCTGCAAACTTAGAAAATCCAAGGGAATCATCACACTAGATTTCTGTTCACCACCAACATCTCCAGTTGCTGCCATCATGTTCTCAACTCAAGAAACTGTCACTGCCCTTCCTAATATCTAATTATCAACCCAAAAAAAAGAAAAAAAAACACTGCTGTTATTTGAACACTACAGTAGTCCACTCACCACCTCACAGCACTCTCTCATCCAACCACCATGACAATACATATGGGATACCACTCAGATGCATTTGGCCACTTTTTCCATCACAAAAAAAAGGTCACAATTTCTTCTAGCAACAAAAACCGTCAACCGACTAGAGAAAGCCCTCTTGAAACTGCTCAGTAGAGGGTTCAAACCACCACATACATCACCTCACGACCACTAAGGCTGTCACACATGGTGACAGCAGTCCAGGAAACACCAAAGTAGGGCTGCTGCACCTTTCTCTTATCTGTAACCCAAATCGCAGCAGTTCTGGGAGCACCAGAATAGGTTGCCGCATCCTTCTATCACCTGTAACCCAGATAGCAGCCCAGAAAAAAAGAAGAAAAAGAAAAGGATTGATCGCAGCGCCAAAAACTTGAGATTGCAGTTCTGTTTCCTCCTGCTTATGGCTCTGAAACCATGTTTTAATGGTTCAGTCAACTCCAGTTCAAAGGAGAGAAAGAAAGAAGAGAAGAAGAAGAGGAGAGAAAACTGTCGAACTAGAGAGAAGAGAAAACTCTCCCAACCGACCACAAGTATATATATTTATCAATTCAGATTACAATGTCCAATATGTTCTTACTTAAGTATGGGACATGTAACTTTAAATAAAACTAAACTGAAAAAGCACAACTTAATATATCATGAAAAGACAAAACTACCCCTACTCAGCCGACTCTACACATAAGCAAATGATAATTGGTAAAACACAAACAGTATTAAAGGCAGGCTAAGAGAGGGAGTTGTGAATATAGAAGTCAGGGAGAGTAAAACATTGTGTCTGCTTTTTCTTTTCTTTTCTTTTTTTTTTTTTGAAGATAATTTAGGGTCAAAAGATGTTAAAGCTAGTGGGAAATCTTTTGGAGTTGCTGAGGATGTTGACAAAGAGGATAGTGAGGCAATTGCAAAATACACTTGAGAAGAATGTGGTGTTGGAGTTAGAGAAGAACCATCCGACATTGCATGTTTTGAAAGTTTTCACCACATTGAAGGAAGTTTGTTTGGGTTTGGACCAATCAAAAAGGTGAAGAAAACAAGGAGAGGTGCCAAGAAAAGAAAGGAGGCTCCTGTTCAAGCTATTGGAGAAGCTGAGTAGCCAAGCAGAATTTTGTTTTTGGTGATGAGTGGGAATCTAGCGTTTAATAGCTGTTGGGTTTCCGTCATGTGTTGGGAGTTTGATTTTTGAGTATTTGGGTTGGCTAGGGGGTTGGCCCATCGAGTAGTAGGTTGGAAGTTCAACGGGATGGCAGTTTGTAAGGGTCTGATGGGATGTTTTAGTCTGTCTTCTAGGTTGGGGAGCTCGAGGTCAGGTTTGTATTTTTTGGTTGTAATGTAGAGGGTGTGATGTAAGGGGGTAGCTGGGAGAAGGGTGCTTTTTCTTCTTCTCTCAGGTGACTTCTTATCACCTTTCTTGTATTATTTTATTTTAATAAATTTCTGTTTTACCTACGAAAAAAATATTACACACTATGACTACTGCTACATTCATTTATCAGGAAACAAACTACTTAGTTCTAAAAGTATGGATGTTCTACATCCTTGCGTGTACATTAAATATGTGAACTCTCTTTCTTAGGGTTTTTTTTTTTTTTGATAAATCTCTTTCTTAGGGTATTTATAGTACATTATAATCAAGCCTACGCACTATGCCTATCCAGCTATCCCTACCGAAGAAGTGAAAATAAGAACAGCAAGACTTATCACAAGCACCTAGAGAGTATGGAAAGAAATTACATAAGACGAATACTGCTGTCGATTTCTCAGTCAGTTAAGTAATGGCTTGACAAAATATAAACTTGGAACACCTACTGACAAAGGATATATTCATAAACACAAAATTAAAAGTCTGTCATGTTAAATGGGGCAAATTACCAAAAGTTACCTCTAAATATCCCGGCACTTGGCACGGCATCTAGGAAGGTCTCTACAGCTCCCAAAACATATCTGGAGGCACAAACAAATTGAGCCCATGCAAGAACAAAAAATATTAGTGCAACGTTTTTTGTAATGCCTACATGTGAAATATTAAGAAGAGAACATAATGGAGACTATGGAGTTTAGATCCACCATCCTTAATGATGTTATCATTAGAATTATCACACTAACAAATGGTAGAATCTGCACTTACAGAGCTCCAGCAACAGCATTCCCAAGGAAGAAGCATAACCCAATGCTAACTCCAACCTCTGGACCAAGGGCTCGACCAATGAGATAATATGGTCCTCCACCCTACAAGTAAGACAAAACAGAGGAACAATAGATATCTAACCCTCATAATCTAACAATTTGGTACCCAACCAGCCTGGTCATCATTGACCTGGGAACAAGGACCCAGTCAGGCTAGTTACCCATTTTCCCCAAAATTGTAAGCAAATTGAACCAGAAACCATTCAACTGACTGATGCTTAGCTCAACACTGGAATACAGGACCCAGGCAAGTCACCCATAACCATCTGGATCAGTGTAATAGAAAAGGATTTAGAGCACCATGAAGGCTATACTATTAAATTACAAGATTTTTGGCACCAAGAGTAAATACCCCATTCCTCTTGGTCCTCGGCAAATTCTGTAACGGATAGCCTTACAAGAAAGGGTGTGTCAAGAAATGAGAGTTATTGTGGTATTTAATTACCAAAATGGTGTATTAAGAAACAATTCCTTTCCTTCCAAAAATATCAAATACCTAGAGTCATAAAGAAGGATGCAAGGATTCCCAACAAGAACTAATTCTTGCATAAACAGAAATAATTGAAATAATTAACAAATCCATTTGAAAAACATCCCGCAGATGTCAAGAAGAAATCAATAAATATGGTTTTGAATCCTACCAGATGCCTTCTAAGATACACATATTAAGAAACAAAAAGCTATTATTTTGGGGAAAAAAATTCCAGGTGAAGATCCTTTTGACCATCATCATCCAAAACAAGGCCACCACTAAGGCACTAAGATTATATTCCCAAAGGGTCTTGCATTTTGTCAATTATCAATCCATTTCTACTTGAGCAGTCACACAAAAGGTTAAGGAGAAGAAATGCAATGCAACAATTAAAAGTAAAATATGCATCTGCAATACCTTCATTGCACCATTAGTCGCAATTGCACTTAATGAAATTGAAGTAAGGAAAGTGCACAACCCACAAAAAGCAACCAGCAACAGTGACTCACCTATGCCTGCCATACCAACAATCCTGCAAGAGGAAATTTCAATCATTTACCATGTTTAAAAATTTTAAGACAATAAAGTACAGGATCTGAGCCAACAGTTAACTGTTAGTGCACTGCACATCAATTGCAAGGTGGTTTTTATGTAATAAATAAAACTTATTAAAAAAGGAAGAGAATACAATCTCAGGCAAGATGATATCACCAACATACCCAAAAAACAAACATCACCAAATCCCTTACAAAAAACATCACCTGTACCCAGCTTTATCAATAGAAGTAGAAAAAGAGAACTAATAAAACGAGGGAGATTGGTGTTTGGGAGCATGGAAATATAGATAGATGATAAGGGAAACAATGAATATAACGAGGGAGATTGGTGTGTGCTTTAAGTGGACAAGAAGGTCAGCTAACGGGCTAGCGGATACCTTAGCAAAACAAGGGAATGTAAGGGAGAACATGTTTTGGGCAGTGCTGTAATGAGTATGTAACTTGGGTCAACTTCTTCTTAGGAGTTAACAGATGTACCTTATCATAGTTTTAATTTTAATGAAGTTACCGTTTCCAATCAAAAATAAAATAAAATAAAATCCCACACCCATTCCCTACCAGATTCTACAACTCAATTGCAAGGTGGTGTGTTAATAATAACATTTTTTACAAGTGACAGAAGTTGTATTAATGATTGGAGAGAACAAAAAAGATTTCAATACAAAGATAAATAGTACACAAATCCCATCAGAGACAGTCAAAACAACTCAAAAGAGCACATAGTCCAGACCAAGTAATTTTACAATGCCCCATGCCACAAATAAGTAATAATTAACTAAAGCTAATTAATTAATAAAGAGTAACCAGTTATCACAAAATACACAATATAACAGCAGTTTCCCAAAATTAGGTCAATAATTAGCTCCATGTTACTTGAGCTTTCCTAAGCACTATAATTCATTGGTGTTAGCAGTCAATATCAACTTGCATTGATGTGAGGTTCACAGGTAATGCCTCAAGGAACAGCCCAATAGGCTCATGTGTCAAAGTGAAAAATGCACAGCTCATGCAGCCACAGCTTCTTTTATCATTATCAGATCTGGAATTTTTAGTGATAGGTACAAAAGCAAATCAAAAAAGATCACAGCACTGGAATCGGGAAGAATAAGACTCAATGTTGATGGATTTAAAACTGGCCTACTCATCACAATGGAAAATTTTGATTATTATAGGATGGTTATCTGCAAGTGCAGAAGGGCCCTTGCTCCTAAACCACTTGATGAGGGAAGCAAGGGCCAATAGGGTTTAGTGATTTGTTGAGAGTTGAAATGAAAGCTGTAACTGAAGGGCTAAAACTGGTGGCAGGTCAGAACTGGAGAAATGTGTAGTAGAAGGAGACTGCCAAGTTGTCTTTTCATGGTTATTACATATGAGGTGCCTCCTTGACCATTTCAGTTCTCTGTTAGAGAAGCTAAAGCTTTGGGAAGCTTGAATTGCTTGTTCATGTGGATACCTAGGTTGCCAACTCTTAGGCTGACAGTCTTGCAAAATCTGGTGTGGCAAGGCAGGCATTTTCATTGGGGAATGCCGGGTCGAAGGGATGAATTGTAATCTGTAGTCTGCTCATATAATGTTTCCCTTCTTTGTCATCCAAGTGCTGTTTTGTACTTCCATTGCTGTCTATCTTTGGCAGTAAGGGTTTTGGTTATATGTTGAAATACAAAGTCTTTTTTTGATAAAAAGTTGAAATTTTAAAACAAAAAGAAAGTACAAGAGGAAGTTGATAATAAATCACCTGAGAGAAGAAAGAACAAGCCCAACATCATAATCTACTCACTCACAACCTACAAAAACCCCGACCATGCAGAAACGACTCAAAGAAACAGCACCGCTGCATCACTCGACATCTCTTTCACAGATCAAAACAAAAAACAACTCCTCTCAAAGACAAGATAATTCATCTCCGTCAAGATCCTCCTCCTGACCTTCTCCCTTGACCTACACCTCTCCCCCCTTCCCTCAGAATGGTCTTCTTGTGTCTCTCCTCCCTACTTTTCTCAAATTCTTCAAAATCTTTTCTAGAGAAAGCCTCTCCACCCAAGAAAAATGAGCCCAAAGCCTTACCAACCTCCACATCCCTATCTGCAAATCTCTTCACATCCAGACAGCCTTCATGTTCTCCCTCCAACGCCGCAGTCAGTTTGTCATTTTCACTAGTAACCATGCATTCATTCTCCTTTTCTTTTCTTTTTCCTTAAAGGCTCCCAATCTCTCCAACTCCCCTTCATGTAAATGCACCATAGAATCACTTTAGCCATGACAGTGAGAACTTTCACCAGTGTTGATCCTTCCCAAGGAGGCTTCCCAACAAAAAGCCCCAAGTCTAGGTGGAATCAGTTTACCCCAAACTTCTTTAAACGGAAAGAATTTCCCAACAAAATCAGTAACTGTTAAGTCTCTAAAGAAGGAAGCACAGGAGAAAAAATCGAAAGGAGAAAGGATCCAAATCCGTGAATCCTCCTTTACAGGGTCCAAGCAGACACCTTGCAAGATATGAAGTGACAAAAGGCTGTTTAAATCTGAATCCCTGGTTCTCCTTCTGAAACCTAGATCCCAATCAAGCTCGAAACCCTCAGCAAGAGAAGAAAGGAAGTTGGAAACTGATTTGTTCTTAAAGAATCATTTTATCACAACATCCTAGAACTTCACCAATCTCGAACTTACCTCCTAGGAGTCATTATACCCAGGTACCTGTATATGCCTAGCGTACTGGCGTTGGATATGGTATTTGTCTTATACAGTACCAAACACCACATGGATACTTCTAGGTATACTTTACTGAATCAACACTTTTTAAAAATTTGTACGATGGTATGTTTTAACAAATTATCCTACAAAAAATTCTGTAAATCCTGGAAATGGAGAGTGTATCCCATTTCCTGCATCTGTGACTATGAGCATATCCTTAGTTAGGAATCACAGCCTACTTTAACACCACTATGAAGCAGATTTAGCTAGAGCAATTCTACTTCCAAAACAAATGCAGTTCTTCGTCCATGACATAAGCCACAGCCCACAGTGAACCAACTTTCAAACTGGCATATAATTTTTATTACTGGCTGATACAATTTTATAGGTTGTCAAACAGTCAATTTTTCATTGATCCCTTGTGGCATATTGTGACCCATGTTACTCATTGGATCTTTCCTCTTCCTTTCAATTTCACTAATAAATGTCTTGTTATATATCATCTGATACAGTAGCTAAACATAATGTTTGAGGAAGTAACTATCCTCTATCAGGATGGAAATAATAATTAAAAAAACTATTTTGGCACTAAACACAAAAGCAAAAAAAAAAAAACACTGATATAAGGATCAAAAGAAAAAAGAGTCAACCATCATTACATAAAAAGGACGCTTATCAGAAAAATCATGCACGTAGAGGGATTTCCCATGAACAATAGATTCCTTGGAATTCCTCCAAGTTCCTCTGTCAGAAGTTATCATTGTTTATAGTTATAACTTCTCTGAGCTAAGCCTTCGGTGCTATTGCAGTCAATTATAGATTGGTTATAACCCCTAATACAAAACAATTTTCTTTTATTGTAAAAAGTAAGGTATTTTATTAAATCAAATAACGGTACAAAGGAGCCTAAGCCAGTAAAGGCTGCCTAGAGCCACCTCAGACTACAAATGCATCCAAGTCTGAGAACTAAACAACAATCTCAAATTCTGATTTTTAAAGTCCTCCGTTGCCAACACCCAAGACAGTAGTTTACCCACAGCTTTCTGCACCATTTCCTCTGGAGATTTAGCTTTGCCCTGAAAAATTCTGTTATTTCTTTCAATCCAGATAGTCCAAAGCACTGCAGCCGGAATAGTTCTCCAAACCAAGGTTCCTTTCTTGCTGAGACCCTCAATTTTCCAACAAAACAAGCAGATCCTTCACAGAATTTGGCATTACCCAACTGACTTCCAATGCCTGAAGGAAATGCCTCCAAATATGACTCGAGACTGGGCAATGTAAAGAAAGATGTTCAATAGTTTCTGCTGCCCCACCACACAAGCCACATGACATGTCCAAAATCTGAATGCCACGTTTCACTAGATTAACTTTGGTTAGACACTTATTTAAAGCCATTGTCCAGAGCAGAAACTTCACTTTAGAAGGACTAATTGAGTTCCAAACCTGCCTAGCCGGAAAGCTCCCCTGACCTGAACTTATCAACTTACTGAGCATAGACTTTACAGTGAACCTGCCATCAGCCTCCCTTTTCCATCTCCAAGCATCCTCCTTGTTCGAGTCAATCCTCTGGTTATGAAGCAGGCCCAACAGATTTGCATAATCTTCAACTTCCCAATCAAAGAGGCACCTCCTACAAAATATATTCCAACTGAAAGAGTTACCAGAGGCATTGAAATTCTCAGCCACCGAGGAATCCTGATTTACAAAAATTTGATACAAGAGAGGAAAGGCATCTTTTAGACACACTTCAGAACACCAAGAATCTTTCCAAAATTTAATTCTTTCCCTATTTCCCAATTTATATCCGATTCCTTCCTTAAATAAAATAGAGTTCTTCAAAATACCTGTCCAAATGGAACTTATCCCTCTTGAAATAGGAGATTTGAATCTCCAATCACCCCAATCCACTCCATATTTGTCCACAATCAGCTTTCTCCACCATGAATTACTTTCATTTGTAAATCTCCAAAGCCATTTACACAGGAGGGCAGAGTTAAACTTCTTCAATTTTCTTATTCCCAACCCACCAACTTCCTTAGGAAGACACACTTGGTCCCAATTTACAACATGAACCTTCTTCTCCTCCTCCCAACCTCTCCGAAGAAAGTTTTTCTGTATTTGATCCAATCTATTTGTTACTTTGGAAGAAAAGGAAAGAGGGAGAAGAAATAAGTAGGCAGATTAGAAAGATTGCTCTTAATCAATGTAGCTCTCCCCCCGAAAGAAAGATATTTAGCTTTCCAAGATGCCAACTTCTTCTCCATTCTTTCAACCACTGGAATCCAAGTCTCAGAGGAAGAACATTTAGCTCCAAGAGGAAGCCCCAAGTATTTGACCAGAAGATGGGCAGTCTAACAAGCCATAACTTCTGCACAATCCTCTAGATTTGTAGCATGACCTACAGGGATGATCTGAGATTTACTCAAATTTACCTTGAGGCCAGACACCACCTCAAACCAACTCAAAATTCCAAGCACCACCTCCAGCTGACTTGGTGAAGCATCAACAAAACATAAAGTGTCGTCAGAAAATTGAAGAATATTAACTTTTTCCTTGCCCGGTGCAATTGCAAAGCCATCCCAAAGCCCATTCTCAACAGCCTTCTTGCTAAAAAGAGTTAGAATTTCCATGACACAAATGAAAAGTAGGGGAGAGAGAGGGTCACCTTGCCTCAAACCTCTAGTGCTTCCAAAAAACCCCGTTGATTGCCCATTAACTAAGATGGAGAACTTAGGGGTCTGAACACAAACTCTGATCCAGTTTCTTCAAAGCTGCCCAAAATTCATTTTCTCCAACACCAGGTCCAAACAGTGCCAGTTAACATGATCATAAGCTTTTTCAATATCAAGTTTACACATAACACCTAGGGTCCCCTCTCTTCTTCTGGATTCCAGCAATTCGTTAGCAACGAGGATTGAGTCAATCATCTATCTACCCAGGACAAAAGCACTTTGATTGCAAGAAATAACACTGCCTAACACACACTTCATTCTTTCTGCCAAAACCTTAGCCAAGATTTTGTAAAAACTGTGCAAGAGACTAATGGGCCTAAAGTCCTTTATAATGACAGCCCCCTCAATTTTTGGAATGAGAGTGATGAAAGTTGCATTCAGGCTTCTTTGAAATGAGGCATTAGTATGAAATGCCTAGAACACCTGCATCATATCACTCTTCACAATATCCCAACATTTTAAATAAAATAGATTAGAAAACCCATCTGGACCCGGTGACTTATCACTTTCCAGCTTCTTTACTGCACCCTTATTTTCCTCTTCTGTAAATGGTCTCTCAATCCAGCATTTCTACTCTTCATTTAATTTATTAAATTGAAGCTCGGAGGTAAAAGGTCTATGAACCCACCTCTCTTTATAAAGGTTCTTATAAAAAGAAGTAGCTATAGATTTAACCTCAGAACTAGACTCACCACTCCTGTCCTCCCACACCAGCTTGCTGATTGAAGAGATCCTAGCACAAGCATTTGTCATTTTATGAAAGAACTTTGTACTTTTATCCCCCTCTTTGAGCCAAATAGATTTTATCTCTTTTTCTCCACTTCCTCTCTTCCTCTACTGCCATCTTATCATATCTGATTTTGCAATTGACCTCTTAAGTCTCAGATCTTCAGACAAGGGACCCGCCTATCCAGCTCTGTCAATCTCAACAGTGGTGCTCAACAAAGCCTTCTTTTCAGTAACCAGCTTCATATTCTTCTCCATACTCCAAGTTTTTAGTTTACCCTTGATGGCTTTTAATTTTGATGCCATAACAAAAGAGCTAGAGCCCTCCACTTGCAACTCGTTCCATACAGATCTGATTAAGGGAATAAGATTTTCCTCCCCAAACCAAGCATTTTCAAATTTAAACGGGGATTTGACTGTCTCACGGAGACCACAGACAAGCTGAATAGGGCTGTGGTTGGACACTGGCCTAGGAAGGGAAAACTGCCTGAAATCCGGAAAAAATTCATCCCAGTTTGAAGATACCAAAAATCTGTCCAGCCTTACCGAGGTCGGGACAGATTGATTATTAATCCAAGTGAATCTATTACTCTGAATCGGAACATCCATTAATTCCATATTATTAATGAAGTTAGCAAACATGTTCATCAAACCAGTTCTTCTACCCCTTGTATTCTTCTCATCCACCGAAATAATTGCATTAAAATCACCCCCGGTTACCCAAGGATAATTCTGAGGGTCTCTCAGGTCTTAATTCCTCCCAAAAAGCCGCCCGAAGATCAGAATCAACAGGACCATATATGTTTGTAACTTGAATAAGTTTCCCATCTTGTAATTTCAGCCTTAGAGAGACTGAGAAATTACCAATTCTGCTAGAAACCAGAGAACAGAAAGTAGGGTCCCAAAGGCTCGCAATGCCACCAGCACTCCCTGAAGCAACCAAGGCCTTCCATCTGACCTGACCCTCCCCCCAAACACTTCGAACCGTAGCAGCATCAAGATTCTCCAGCTTAATTTCTTGGAGCAAGACTATCTTAGACTTCGATTGCTTCAGGGAATCACATACCATCATCATCCTCCTTCCCAACCCCAGCCCTCTAACGTTCCAGGAAAGTATTCTCACTTCCATAAGAATTAACTAATGACAAGGACCCACACTTCACAACTTCTTAGACCCCCTTGCAGCCCCTTCATTGCTCCCCGCCTTATCATTCAGACCCCACGTTAATCTCATCATTTCTCTACTTCTCTTTGTTTTTATTCCCCCTTTTTTGGCCGCCAATTTTCCCCTCTCCATAAGCACTCTTTGTTCAATTCCTTCCAAGAACTTAATAGTATCAACTTCCATCCCCTCCATCGAAATTCCCAGGAAATTCCCCAACCCCAGAAGTTCTGACGGCACCCAAGAAGAATGATTATTTTCAGACACACTATCCTTACCTACCTCCATAGTAGATAAACTTAATTTACCCTAGTTTCCTATCAAGACTTCTCCATTGCTTCTCCTCATTGGCCCAGGGCTTCCTCCACTATTCCCCAACTCTTTGGATTGATCAAGGCTGTTTCCCTCATTCCCGCTTTGAACCTCCTTACCCAACACTGCAATAGGGGTCACCACCATCGGAGTCTCTTCCACTGGCACCAGAGGGAGATCTTGAATTTGTTGCCGCCTAGTATCCATCTCCCATGAACCTTTTGAAGAAGACCGAACTTTTTGGGAAGATGTAGCAGCCTGACTCAGGCCTCCTAGCTCCATTTCTTCAGAACTGGGAATCTGGACCAAAGGAGAACCAACACTTGGATTCATCGGCTGTTTGGACGGGAGACTGACCCAGGTCGGCTCCAATCGAACTGAGCTATAGGCTGTTTGTCTTCCAGTGGGCCACCGAGGCTCACTAAAAAATTTTTTTAACTTCATTTTTCTTAACCACTTGACTGGAGCAGGCAGACAGGATATTAAGTCTAGCTTGACCCAGATCCAGATCCTGAGTCTGAATCTGAGCCACCTCATCACCCTTGGAATCCAAACCGGCCCCTTGTCGAGCCTCCCACCCCTTACTCCTCGAGATCTCAACATCTGGCTCCACGTGCATCTCTTTGATGCACTGCTTGATGAGACCTTTTAATTCCTCCACCCTCGAGAATCCCCCACATCCTCCCTTCATTAATTCTGGCGTACAAGACTCAAAAATATCATTCTAAGGACAATCTTGGCCGTCCAAAGAGACTGCTTGTGGACAGACCAGATTCATCCCACGACCATCTTCTTCCCCTCCGTCGAACTCCAACGAGCATCTCAACGGCAGTTTGATTCTCAGATAGCTTCTTTGAACATCTTGCGGCAGCGAACTCTCTCCCTCGTCTTCTAAGACCACAGTATTTGAAATCTCCGAGCTCCTTCCCTGCAATCAGATCTGACTGTTCACATGATTCTCCTACATCCAGCTTCGAACTGTCGGCAGAGATTCAGGCCAGATGCAGATTTCAAACATCGACTCCCCCACAACAACCTCCACTTTTTCAGGAATATTTTCGGTCCTTCTCACCTTCGTTCGAACCCACTCACAAGTTGATAGCTCCTCAGGGGAGTCATCGGTTTCCACAAAACCACCACACGCATCCCCTATGGTCTTGATCACACTCAGACACCACAGTAACAGAGGAAGACCATAAACCCTAACCCAGATTGTTTTCAAACAATTAGAGTCTCCGCTTGATTCCGGATAGAAGCAGCCTGCACTTCCCCCCCCCCCCCCCGCAACCAGTCCAGAAAGAGATGGATTCTCCCCATTTGCCATGGGCCCTGATTGAGGATCCATGCCGCTGCTAATCTCGATGGGAATATGAACAGGAAGAGGTCATCAGCAAATTTCTTCACTCTCACTCCTTCCAGCATCTGCTTACCCAGTTTTCCACTTCTTGAAATCCTACCCTCCGCTGAAATCTCCCCACCAAGCAACCTCGCAGGAATCTCCTTCTAGCCTCAACGCCTTGGAGCTCTATCGCTCTGTCACTATCACCTATCTTTCCTCCACCTTCTTGATTTCAGACTGCCCAAAATCCGGCCAAACTCCAACCGCAACCGCCTTACTGTAAGAAAAATTCGGTCTCCTCCTCGCTCCCTTCTCTACACCCCTGTACCAGTTGCTAGCTTCCCATCTCCTCCCACCTCCCTGAGCTCTCTGAAGAGATCTATCTCGAAACATCTTCACCCCGCAATCTAATACAAAACAATCCAAGGCCTTAGCTAATTATGTTACAGGAACAATCTACATAACACAAGGAAAGGGCCCTTAAGTTCCTAATTCCTATAAGCTGTTAGCCACACAATGCATCCCTCCTCTGTTAGGTCAGGAAAGGGCCCTTGAGTTTGTTCTATTATTTGAGTCATACATAATCTGAATAACTAAAAAGAGAAAAGATGCAAGTAAATTTCTGCCCATGACTGGAGCTGAAAACACCATAAGTGTTGAACTCAAACCGAGCTGTAATCTTCAAATTTCAACTATTTTTGGCAATAAACTGCATAGAATTTCCTTTTAATAGAGCCAGAACAGAAATGTAGAACTATGGTAAAACTTATTTTCTCATTTATCTACAAACAAAAATACAATGTCCCAATGAAAAGATAAAAAAAAAGAGAGAGAGAGAGAGAGAGACGCAAGCAAATTAAGAGCAGGAAAAGTGTTACCAAGAAAATCGGATATAGTAAATAATTCCCAGTATGTTCTGCAAGCATGGGACAAACACACCCATCATTGTCCCCAGTTTAACACCAGTTGGCTGCAGGATAAATCAAAATTACTTTTCATCAGAAGCATGGTAAGGCATCTAAAATGCAGCAGAAGCTCAACAACTATAACCGAAGATAAACCATGTTTGTCAAAAGAAAAAGAAGCAACATGACCACATTCCGAAGTGATAAGGCATTTAAATCTCAAAAGAAAAAGAAAAGAAGCAACATGCATCAATCATGCTTGTGTTTTGTGGAACAATTGAAATTATAAACCACCTTTTCTTGAATGTCAATGCACTAGTGAAAGTCTATGTTTTATTGGTGTTAGAGTCGGCTATAGAAGGGTAGTCTAGTCTTTTTACTTTATGTTATGTACTAGATGTAATTACTATTATATTCTAAGTTAAGTGATGTGAGTGGGGGCACAATGACTAGAGAGAGGAGGGTTCTCTAAATCGAACCAGTCTTTCCTTCTACCTATTCTTCTCTTCTCTCTTCTCCTCTTTTATTCTGAAACTGAAGCATATACAGATCTGAACTTTATCAATTGATAATGGAAATTTATTGACGGAGAAAGGGGGGGAGAGAGAGAAAGAGAGAGAGAGCATACTTAAAGGAAAATAAAACAACACTTCATGAACAACATCCCAAAGTGTCCAAAATGCTTCAAATAGCAGGATAGCTCAAAATAACTAACACACCTCAGGATTCCAAAGCAGACTCAGTCTCACAGTATGCTAACACTCCAAGATCACCACAATTTGAGATTCATATCTCTAACCCATCAAGACCCACCTGCCAATCTTTTCAACAGGGTACACCAATGTGAATCTTCCTACCAGACACCAGTAGAGGGACACAGAATGCTTCCCTCTCCAAAAGGATTCTTCATATTTTCTCTAGAAGGGTTTTGTCCAAAAGACAAGGCATTCAATTCCTCAAACCAAAAATAGGAGAATTGAAGAAGACCATCAAGAGAGCCAATCAGAACTTAATTGAAGAGATGACAAAAGGACAGTGGGTCTGAGGGCCTAAATCTCAAAGCTTCAGATTGATAATAATATCATTAGCTTCCATATTCCATTACTTGTGACTCATTGGGATAAAACAGAAGAAGCATTTCACTAATACACAAAAGATGCTATACTTAGGAATTGGCAGCAGATGACCTCCACTTCAGTGACAAAATCGTTGACATTACTCATTTGGCACCCTCCATAACCTAATACAATAAAACTTAACTTTGATCAGTGCAGTATTGGCCTATTGGGAACCCTGGACTTTCAGGAGTGGGGGAGCCTTTAGAAGTTACACTTGTGCCTCCTTCTTTAGAGCACTGTTACCCTCTCCTCTTGTTGGTTTGTCTTTTCCTGTTAAAGATGTATGGTGTCGACCTATACCTCCAAAGGTTGGGAGTTTCTGTTGAGAATCCTTTCTGGAAAGAGTATACAGGGGATCTACTCCAAAGAAAAAGACCCAACAGTTGTTTGTCTCCTCACAGGTGTGTTCTCTGTAAATCTGATGGTGAGTCTGGATACCATTTACTAATTTCTTGTCAGTTTATTAAGGTTATTTGGGAATGGTTTGCTTCTTTGTTTGGGTGCAGGTGGACTCCTCCTTTGAATGTGCAAAGTTTATTTACTTCCATGCCCAACTGGCCAACCAAAAGGGCCAAGATCATGTGGAGATGCGGTAGGGCTGCGATATGTTGGACTGTTTGGGAGGAGAGAAACTCAAGGATATTCTCAGATAAGGAGAGAAGTATGGATGAAATCCTTGAGACTATCCACATCAGGATGATACATTGGCTGAGAACATTGGAATTGACAAGGAGCTGGAAGGAGATTGCAGAATCAGGCTCAAGTAGGAAGAACTTAAATTTTTGCTGGACACCTCCACCTCATGGGTTCACCAAACTGAATTTCGATGGTAGCAGCATAGGCAATCCAGGACCTTCTGGAATAGGGGGAGTAATAAGGGATGAAGCAGGAAATTTGTTGGCTATGTACTCTGGTCCGATTGGGGTAGGAGACTCTTTGAGGGCTGAGATCCTAGGAGCTATTGAAGGGATACAAAGGGCCAAAGAACTGAGTATTAAAAAGCTGATTATAGAAGGTGATTCTGAAATTGTGGTGAATTGGCTAACAGAGGACAGTTCTATGCTCTGGAAATACAGCAATGAAAAGAGGAAGTTCAAGTGGCTCACCAAGGACATGGAAATACATTGTACATGGATAAAGAGAATTGCAAATGCATTGGCAGATGGTCTAGCTAAACAAGGGGTAAACAGAAATACTATGTTCTGGGCTGCTTTGTAATTGTAATTGTAATTGCTTCATGGTCAGAATGTACCTTGGGTAGTTGGGAGTTAAGATTCTTTAGCTTCCTCCTCTGTAACTCTGATTATCTCAATCTTTATTTATAAAAGTTCATTGCTATTGATAAAAAATATATATAATACTGCTATACTGAGGCCCAATTGGCACAGGTGACACTGCAAGAGCAGAAATTATGGCATGTCTGACAGGACTCAGGCTGGTTATATTGTTGAACTTCAGAAACATACTAGTAGAAGGGATTCACGAGTGGTTGTAGCCTTGTAGGCTGGTTAATGAAGAATGAAGTTAGAAAACTTAAACATGCCATGGGAAAACTATCAAATCAAATCTAGCAGCACATTTGGGGACAGCCTATAGGTGAACTCCTAGATCTGCAAAAGTGATGGCCGATGGACTAGCTAATCAAGGTTGCAAGGGGTTAACTGGAGAGAGTTGTACTGGAGTCTGATTGATCACATAGTTTTCAAGGCGCCAAGGCAAGGCTAGGTGATAGGGGGGCGCTTTGTCACCTAGGTGATGGATTTTTTAAGTAAAAACATACATCCTAGGGTAGTTCCCCAGGTTCCATAACCATACTTCCTTAATAATTATCCATAATTTTCATAAGAAAAGTATGAACTTCATGTTGAAGTATAGAAAATCAACATATTCATAAGAAAAAGAAGAAAGAAAATAAAATTCAAAAACAATAGGGGGCTGAACCCCTATTTTTGTTATAGGAAAAGTAGAAAAGAAAAGGTGAAAGCAGAAGAAGAAAATGTGTTGAGTAGACAAAATTTTAAGTTCTTATTGGTTCTGGTTTTGAAGTCTTTGAGGGTTCAATACAGCAGTTAGCAATGTTTATGTTGATTAAACCCTAACAAATAAGAAAATAATAAAAATAAATTATTATATAAACACAAAATGAGTATTTTAGTTTAATGTCTATTTTATAATTATAATCTCAAAAAAATAAAGAATATAAAAGTATTTATAACACAACATACAAAACTGCTTAGAGATTAGGAGAGGCAAACCTCCAAGGGCACCTTGTTGCCTAGGTATCGCCTAGGTGCCCAACTGCCCGCCTAGGCATCACCTTGACAACTGTGATTGATCAGGTTGAAGGTCTTTAATGTAAATTGGTCATAACTATCATACAGAAAAAAGCATGCAAGAGAGAGTATTTTAAGAAATTTCTAGGGTTAACTAGGGAAGGTACAGATACATACTTTCAACAAATACCATAACTCCTTTTCTGTTTTTCTTCTGCTTTAGTTTACTTAAACATGAGACGATGATCAAAGAATTACAAGGTCATATAGTAGCACCAATCAGCAGATAATCAATTAGACAAGGAATTCCAGAAAGATTTTATCATTCAATGGCCTTAGAAGAATTCCTATAAAATAATAACAAATAGCCTCTATGGACAACAAAAACAATATATATGCCCATGGTTATTGGTTTCTTGCAATCATTTTCCACCATGTGTTAGCACATTAGGAGGCAAAATTTATGGAGGTCACATTAACATGCCAAAGAAAATTGCCATACCTTTGGACGTCCAAGAGTGATAGAAACGTCTTCCCCATCTCTCCTGTCTCTTGGACTAGAGGGGGCAGGAATTTGTTCTCCTATCATACTGGAAAAGAGATCCAATTAAGACGTTAAGTAATTACACAAGAGTTGAAATCCATTGCCCAACAGAAATAGATTCTGTACGATCAAGAATGGATAACTACATACTTGACCAAATAAAGGAGACCCCAAAAAAATCTGTTCAAGGGTGTTAAAAAAATGGAATGGTACCAACAAGGAAAAACAATAGGAGCCATTACTTGGTGTAATGGTAAAATCTCACTGGCAAGCATGGGAACACAGGTTCAAGTCTGAGGGCGGACACATTTTGCAAAAATAAAAAATGCCAAAGGTTAGGACCATAACTGGTCTACCCCTCCCAAGACCCCAAATAGCTGGGACCAACATTGGGCAATGGCCTTTCTCATGCCAACAAAGAAAAACAAAAATTTGGAATCATATGTTGAGGAATAAATACAAGAAACCATTACCTCTTAAGACCAAGGATGTTGACAAGAGAGTCAAAGCCAAACAATTCCAATTTGGATTCACTGAGGGAACCATTTACTTCTGTATGAGTTGGAGATGACTCCTCCCTTGCATCAGACTCCATGTTTGATTGAGAATCTACTTCAATTTTCCTGTCATGACACAAGAATCAATATCAAGTACTTCAATCAGCATATATAGATAGAACTCTTTTTTTAAAGGTAAAATAATTTAGTAGAACTTCAGAAAAAAAAAAAAAGTTAGCTCAGAATCAAATACATACATATATACCTGCATAAGAATCAATATCAAGTACCATATAATTATATATAATACTTCATAGACCAATATGTCACTACAAATAAACAAAATGAAAATATACAAAAATAGAAATATAAATTTATTTACTATATAAACAATAAACCCAAAGGCCTAAGTATTTATCAACGTACATAATGAATTCCTCACAACTTCCCCCCAGAGAACTTGAAAGTCAGCTCTTTCTCTCTTTCTCAATATATACTCCGTCAGCCAATTCTCTTCAATGGTTTGACTATTGAACCTGCTTAATACTTCAAGATCATTGATCTCATTTTGCCACTAGGTAAGAATATTTAAGATTTATTTTCCCTGCATGAACAATTACTGTAAATGTTCCATCTTTAGCTATAATAAAAACACAAAAGGAAATTTTGACATAGTACAGATGTTCTGAGCTTTAGACAAAAGTGACAGATAATATAAACATTGTGAGGTAATAGTTTCTGACTAAAATTTAGAGTAGCGATCCATCATATGCTCTGTTAACACAAAAGACATGCTGGAAACCCATGTTTTAGAGAAAATATGGAGAAATATGTGAACTAAGTAAAAAAGTACAGTTCTGAATTAATTCACAAATATTATTTTAAAGCAAAAGCACCATCATTGTTATTTTTTAAGATGCTGAAAGAGAAGAACATCAGTGCCCTCAAACAAGTAAAGGATTAGAAGAGTCAGATATTGGTGCAAGTTACAAAAGTCTTTTCCCACGTCAAAGGTAGTCATTTGGAGGCTGGCCCATGCAGCAATAGGATGGTTACAATCAGGTGATTCAAAGATAGTAATAGGATGGTTACAATCAGGCAGTATGGGAATCGGAATTACGGGTAGACCCTAAGGGAGACCAGAAGCCTTTCTCTTATATGGGTTAGTAGGTCAGCAAATAGTTTGGCTGATGGGTTAGCCAGACAAGGGGTAAAATAGAGTTGAATTGTTTAGGGATGAACTGTAATTCTGAAGTCTTTTGGGGTTCTAGTACCCTATGCTATGGGGCTGAACCTCTGTAATGTTTTTAAAGTTAATCTATTGAAAGTTACCTTTTCCTATTAAAAAAAGTAAAGTAAAGAACATAACTAAAATCCTTCAAGGGTCACTGAAAAGTGGCACTATCAAAAGGGCCAGCTTTCTGTTGAGTTATTGAGCCCAGCTTTGTTTTATTTTATTTACTTTTTTCAGTTAGGAAGTTATTGGGCCTTAGGCCCATTAGTTTATGTTAAGTTGTGTCTTTTCAGCTACTTACAAGTAGCCGACCTACTAAGGGTATTCTTGTATTTGTACATTCTTTTTATGAAGTATATAAATTAAAAGGAAGGGGGCAGCCAATAACTTAACATCAGCCCAATAACTGATTCTTTTTGGCTTCTTCTCTTCCTTTCTTGCTGAAACCTTTCAGCTCTTTCTTCTTTTCTCTTCACAAAGTTTATATCAAACACAACTATCAGCTTTTCTACTCTTTCTACTACTGATGATTATCATAAACTTAATGCTCCCAAAAGAATCTCCAAAGGCATTCCTAGAGGAGACAAGGACTGCAAATAGCAATGTTGTAAGACTCAGAGTCACAAAACCGAAAAGGCTGCCAGATCACAGGTCAGACAGATCGGCTGACCGCTAGGTCAACCAAGTGACTTGCGATGTCATATTTATAAAATATAAAAATATTATACATGTAATGAAATACGTATTAGTTGTGGTCGAATGGTTTTTGTTTTGGTTTTTAATATAGGTGACCAGGTTTCAAGTCTTCTAACTCACATTTATTCAAATTTCAAAGATGTATATACATATTTGGGCATATAGATATTAAAGAGAAAAAATAGACACAAATACCATGATAAACAAATGGTAGCGAATTAATTTATGCAAGGGAGAGGTCATAGGTCCAATTCTCATCATTTCCATTTTATGATTTCTAATAAATCAGTGACCACGGAGGGTCATTCAAAACTGGCTGGGTTGTTAAAAGCCAGCCAATTTTAAACAGTTTTCACAGTCCTACTGTCCAGTCTGGTCCAAGTCTTACAACATAAGCAAATAGTATCCTTCATCTGAATTTGAACCCAAGCTTGCTCTAATAAGGCTATCCAATTTCATCAGTTTATGATTGGATTGGATACATCTGTTAGTAAAGTTGGTTTAAGTATTGCATGTTTGCATGCTTACCAACTAAGCAGTCATAAGTCCAAGTCTCATAGAAGTTGTTTTATTCATCGAATCACACTATGATACTGAAAAGGCTTGAAGCCTAAAAAACTGTTAAACACTCAACTGGTATAACAGAAGTGGTAAACACCAATCAACCCAATCAACTGGTATTTATCAATGTTGGGGGGAAGGGGTCTGATTGGTCAAAGTTCTTTCACTATCGTAGAAATTACCTTATTCATGACATAGATATACAAGATCAAAGGCAATTCTTGTTCATTTCATTCATATTATACAATATTTTGATCATTTTTAGTTTCATTTATTAATTGTATACAATATCAAATTTGGATATAGATAACCTCCCAAAGTCAAAGTTTTCTGCTGGGAAACATCCTTAAAGATCATCAGTACCAGGGAAATTCTTCAAAGAAAGAAACCCTCATGTTTGTGTCCTTTGCCTCAAAGATGGAGAGTGTCAACCATTTTTTTTATCTTGCCCATTTCCAGCAGCAATTTGGACACACTATTTTTAATTATTCTGCTACACTTGGGTTGCTCCACATAATAAGCTTGAATTATTTGCATCACAACAACCACCTCTATACACACAAGGGAAAACTAATGTAGCTATGCAATAAAGCAGCAATTGTTTGGGGCATACGGAAGAGAGAAATCGATGAATTTTCAAAGAGAAATTTTTTTTTTTGGATCAATAACAAATTCATTAACTCATCATTAAAATAATTACAAAGAGGAAGACAAACACTCTTATCTCCCAAATACAACTTAAGCCTTCAAAAGAAAAGAAAAGGAAAGGAAGAAACAATAAAGTTACAGTTTAGCCCAAAACATTAAGTCCCTTTCTACCCCTTGTTTAGCTAATCCATCAGCTAAAGAATTAGCTGATCTTTTAACCCCAATTCATCTTCACTTCCATCTCCCGCACCAGCTACTTAAATTTTCTCCTCTCATTGCTGTAATTCCATAAGCCACTGCTATCTTTATTCAGCCACCCTATCACCATCTCCGAATCCCCTTCAATTATAAGCTTTCTGATATTCATCTCCTTAGCTTTCTGAATTCCTTTCCATAACTGCAGAGATCTCAGCTCTAAGAGAGTCACCCACTCCAATTGGGCCTGAGAACAAGGCAGAAATGACCCCATTCTCATCCCTAAAGACACCTCCAATCCCTGACCGTCCGGGATTCCCCTACTACTCCCATCAAAGTTTAATTTTATGAATCCAGCAGGTGGTGGGGTCCAAGGCACACTCATTACTGATCTGGCCTGTGTACAGTTTGCAATCTCACCCCACTTCCTCAACATGTCATCCACTGTGTAATCTGTAATTTTCAAAGAGAAATTGAGAAACTGAAGTTCAATTCCAATGGTTGCTGCCTAGGCAATCCAGGACTATCTAGATTCGGAGGAGTGCTCAGAAACCATGAACGGGAACTTCAACTCAGTTATTGTGGACCATCTGGAGAAGGGGATTCTTTGAAGGATGAAATGTTAGTACTTCTCCAAGGTCCCAGGTTGAGTTGTATAATGGGCTGGACTGAACCAACTATAGAAGGGGACTGCCAAGTAGTGATTAATTTGGTAGCAGCTGAAGATCAAAGGTCCATGGAACCTAAGACATTTGACAAGAGAAATCAAGCTTCTAGTATCCACTATGAACCACTTGCTCAAACAGATCCCCAAATAAGAAAACAGTCTAGCAGATTTGCTAGGGACTATAGAGTCAACAAAACTTTGTTGGACTGGGGCATGCCTGGTCCCAGGACTTGTACCATAAATCTGGAATTTATGGTTCTTCTCAATAATTGGATATGAATATATCCCATTCAAATCTGATCTATTTGCAGCCATGGAAGAGATATTCCTGTCTCTGAACCTAACAATATCCATAACTCCCACCTCCTTTGGGTTGCACTTTTTTTTCTAATTTACCAAGTGGAATCCATTAAGGTTTTCCTAGATCTACAGGATTAGTGATCTTTTGCACTCTCTCCACTACCTTGGCCTGGATGTTAAACATGAAGATGAAGAAAATGGGCAATTAGTAAAGGCAGACCTTATGATGGTGATTCGGAAACCAAGGGATGTGCAGTTTTTTCCTCCCAAAGTAAGTTGCTTTTGAATTCTCTCAACAAGGATACAGAGCTCTAGGATTAGTTCCTTTGAGAAACCAAGGTATTTCAAAGTCCAACTAGACCTTACACATCCTAGGCCTAGGGTTATCACAATTCACAGACATATCCAATTTTTTATCTTCCATGTCTAGATCAGACAGAAACAAGTCCCCTCAATTTGCATTAACCACTTTTTATTGGTAAAATAATTGGTCCTATATCCACATGTACCAACCATCTAAATTAAGTTTCCCTAATTTCATCACCCATCAAGGAGCTCCTAAGTCCCCATTCTGACCATACCATTTCTAGTTTTGTCACTCACATTTAAAGGCGTAAATATGGTTTGTGAACATCACTCACTAAACTGATCACCCAAAATATCTTGGATTACTGGGTTCCAAATTTTTTTAAGGCAATTAAGGTGCCACATGCTCCCTTCTTCAAAATGGGAAGATATCTCCATTTTCTTCCAAAGCAAATGGATGAGGTTTCATGGAAAATGGATCCAAAAGGAAAGTCCTCCGTAAACTTAGTCTATCTCACTCCCTCTAATGCGTTTCCCTTCTAGCATGGAAGTCCTCAGATTCCTAATTGACGAACAATGTCTAAAGATGAAGGATCCACAGATTGTTTGTTCTTTCATTACCATGAGATTTTTTGAAGTATGGTGCTTATTTGTTCTTATACGTTTCTGCGTGGATACGTTCATATTCATTTGTAAGAGCATCCTTTCTTGGCTTCAGTGTTCTTTAGCCGCTGGGAGTACTAAATTATGGAGAAGGATACGATTTTTTATTTGTTATAGCATCCAGAACCAAAAAAAAAAGAACAGATGGACTTTTTGAGGGGAACGAATAATTTTTTACGTAGATTCTAAACAGATCGGAGCGGATACTTCGAATGGAGTTAAAATCCAGACATCCAACTCGATCCGAACTCAATCGTTGCATATCCAATCCTCAAATATATCCACAAGAACGAACATCCAACAGAAAAGATAAAAGAAAGCTTCCACTAGATGTTACCTGTGATATGATCAAAGACTGATCTCGCCTAACACAGTGAAATCCCATGTTCTGCGAAGACCTCCATTAACAAGACCAAACGCCACTCCTCTCTATTTGCTTGTCTTCAACAATTTGACCCCGGACAACCTTTCTAGCTCCAGAGTATCCTCACTGTAGAAAGGACGTACTTAGCAAAAGAGAACAGATCTCTGATTCTTCAATGGCTTTCCTTCTTCCGGGAAACAAATTGGAGTTAGCGACGCATTGAAGAAAATTGATCTCTGACTCTTCAAAAATGCTGCTTTTTCTTCCTTCTGGATAAGTTAAAGAAAGAAAAAAGTCCAAAACAAATCTTACACAGAAATGATCGAGTCAGGAAAGAAGCCAAAGAAAAAAGGAAAACTGTAAATTTTGAATCCGATTCAACTCAGCGAGTCATCTTTGGACGTGTCTTGACGCTTAGAAGCTTCAACGGTGAAAGGTTTTCGTCGGAAGGGACTCGGAAGAAAACTTCGGACTTCATAAATCATCACATATTCACATGGTAGTAGGAAGGAAGCCCGAAGCCCCAAGTTCGCTGAATGTCTTCGAGGCAGATGCTAGCACCACGGAACCCTCAGATGATCACAAAAGGGAAAAGAATTCTCTGAATTCTGTTTGTTTTTTCGTTAAACCCCGTATCCGTATTTGTGGACGGATTTGAGTAGCTTGTTTGGTTAGCATTTCCTTTCCTCGGTGGAATTGAATTCTGTTAAATTTGGTTTTGGACCGTGGACGTGGAAATCCCCAGCTTTCTAGATTTCGTGCGCCGTCTTTTACGAGTCGGGAGCGGAACAAGAGGAGTAATGGATTTGCTGATTCCAAACTCCAAAGTTACCAGTAAGCTCAAAGCGAGCAACGATCAGACGGCCGAGATTCACGTGATCGTGTTGCCTCTCAATCATGTAGGGCGCAAATTATACCATGCATCTTCTTGATGTAGATCAAAGATACTCCCATCAATCTAAGGCCAACATACGAGTGGTGAGTAGGGTTGGGCCAGGCTGAGCTTTACACTTATGATAAGGGTTATAGCTTAGGCCCGGGCTTGGCCTGGCTCAGGGTTTAGGCCTTAAACATAAGCCTTAGCTCAGTTTTATACAAGCCAGAGCCTAATTTTGGGCCAATGTCTTTCATATATAAAACATTACATATCTATAACATTTTATATTAAATGACATAACATGCACATAAACTTATTTTATACATTATATAATATAAAACATTACATATTGTTGGTGCTTAGAATGGTCAAGAACAACAAAGTAATTTTGCCCCTGGACTCTGAAGGCTGGCCGAAGGCTTTGAGGACTCAGAGAGGTTGCTGCTGAGGCCGAGGTGAGGCAGACTCTGAGTGCGGTAGAAGCCGAGGGTGGATGGCCGAAGTGATGCAAGGCAGAAACTCATCAGAGACCTTGGGTGAGAACCCGAGGCAGAGCCTCCAACGATCAAGTTAGTACAGGGTACGACGAAAGAGTACCAAAATAGGATCCTGTTAGTTAGTTCTAAACTAAAGTCACAATAGCAGTTATTGCAATGGCAATTATGACAATGGTTGTAGGTCTTGAGTTTGTAACCCCTTTACTTGGAGATGGGTACCCCCATTTATACTAGAGGTAGGTGGGGATGAACACCTAAGATGGGAGCCATACGGGGGCCTGCAACGAGTTTGGTAGGGTCATGTGAGCGCATCGCGGTTGGCTCTATACGATGGGGGTAGGGTAACCCCTGTTGTAGTGGATATCGTTCCCTGTTCTGGCGCTCATGGGTTGGGCCTCCCAGCCTCGAATGGGCTGGGTTGGATCACCCCACATCACTTGCCCCCCACTCCTGAGGCCGAGGAGAAGAATTCAGCTTCTGCCAATGGGAGTAGTAATGGTGAGTGCTAGTGGGCCTAGCAGTCGAGGTGTACCTCGCAGTGGCATCCTCTTTTGCGTCTCTGACTGGTTTGTCTTCATGAGTCAGGCTGAGGCTGCAAGTGATCTACGGCACTGCTCCTTCGTTCAGGTGATTCGGAAGGCGCGCTCAACATAGATGTTCAGGCGTCGTCGTCCGGGCCGAGGGCCAGGGGGAGGCTGAGGGTTGTTTAGGCCAATGACCTGTGGAGACGAGGGCTGCTTAGGTCGGGGGCCTGTGGAGCCAAAGGGGCCCAAAACGGGGCCCAAGGGTCCATGCCCGAAACAGCTTTTTGGTCGAACCGATGTGCCCATCTGCTAGAACAGGTTGCTTTGGGTGGACTCGCTGGCCCGTCTTGAGCGTTGTTTCGTCTCCCAAGGGTGAGCGCTCAGGAGTGCAGTGTGGTTGGATCGCAGGTGTGGAAGTGTTTCTCGTCCATTGGATTTGCAATAATCTAAGCCGCTGCCAGCGCGTCGTTTCGTCTTCCGAGGGTGAGCGCAACGCAGTGCGCCATGATTGGGTCGTGGAGGTGGTGGCTTCTCAGCCATTGGATCTTGAGAAATCTGGGCCGTTTCACTCTTCTTTAAATAGTGGCTTCGACAGTAGAATTCTTGTCATTTTGCCTCCAAGTGTTTTCGTCTTCGAGTGAACTCAGCTCCTAGATTCTCTAGTTCTCGACACTCCACCTTTGTTCGTTTTCCTTCCACTCCCTTTATAGGTAATTTCCAACGATATCTTTTTCAAATTCTAGACCTGAGTGCTATGAACTTCTGAATGTATTGGAGGGAGCTTTGTTCGAACCCTTTCTCCCCTTCCCCCCTAAGTCCTTCTCTCTTCATACCCCTTCGGCAAGAAGTGGAGGCGCTCTGGGATAGGGTAGCCCTCGGGGGAGCCGAGTGCATCCGCCGAGGTGATGACCCTTCTTATGAGAGTGCCGCATCTGTGACACCGAGGGAGGCTGCGGGGTCCCCCCAGGCCGAGGGGGAGCAAGACCCGGGCCTCATCCTTGAGGCGAGGATAGAGAGTGTTGCCGAGGTAGTGGCTGAGGCTGATCCTTCTCGCCCAGAGTTCAAAGGTTCTCTGGAGTGAGATCAAGTCAAGGCCCTAACGAGGCAATACATCATCTCTTTGTCCTATGGGGTGAGGGCGCCCGAGGTGGGTGATCGGCCGTGGACTCCCAAGGAGAGGGAGATCTGCGTTTATCAGCACTACCCTTAGCCAATTGGCGCCCAATGCGATAGGAACCATTGTGGTGATGTTGGTGGTGGCTCAGCTCCAGTGAGTAGAGCTAATGCCAAATCTCTTCCGAGCGATTTTCGTGTTGAGGAAGAACTCTTCCGAAGATGGTGTCTTCTACTTCCAGCCCCGCAATTCTAAGCCCGTAGATAACCCCTCTTCCGTGCACAACTAGAAGAGTAAATATTTCTTTTTGTCTTGTCCCGAAAGCTGGTCCTTCAAGTCAGGGTGGGGAGAGGCCAGCTTGTTTGCGGAGAAAAGTGTCCCCTTGCTTACAATTGAGGAAAGTGACAATCTCGCATGGCTGCTCAACATGGGAGGAGTCAGAGCCCAACCCTTGGTGGAGGAGAAAATCCCATTGGTTTTTGTGGGACTTAGCGCAGCCCCCCTCGGTAGGATAGGCCACGCAACTTTTTTCCACGTTTTCCTCACCTTTGTCATTTTGTAATGGTACTAACTGTTGTCTTGCTTGCAGAAGTGCCGATGGATGCTCGGAAGGCCATACTGGACCATGTCCGCATGATGCAGAAGGAGCGGGTGAAGGCTAGCAGATAAACACCTTAGAGGCCCACCAGGGGCACGCCAGTTCAGAAGGAGAAGGCCTTGGCCCCTGCGAAAGGGGGGTCTTCCCGCCAGGTCCCTGCCAAGGGGACGAAAGCACAAGTCCCTGCCAAAATGACTTCTTCAACAGCTCCCCCGAAGGGAGCCACTCCACAAGTTCCTACGAAGGGGAAGGGTCCTGTCGAGGAGGGCCAGCCGGGGCGCGAGGAGCAAGCATCGTAGCATCCAACCGGGGTGCCGAGAGGACCTACTGACGGGATTGAGGCAGGGAAGAAGAGGCCGACCGAGGGGGCCATGGGGGGTCAACCGCAAACAGAAGGTGGCCCGCACCAGGAGTTCTGTCGATGATGCCCCGAGGGGGGCCTACACGGAGCAGATGGGGCCATTTTCTGCTCCCACCCTGTTGGAGGAGCTTGTCCAGCGGTCTGATCAAAATTTTCACCCTTAGTGGGAGGTCCGCGAGGGGGACTCAATCTACAATGCGGGAGTTGGCTTGACGCTGGTAAGCGGGTCCCTACTGTCTCAATACCACTTCTAGATGTTGGGGATGGCCCCTGAGAAGCTGTATAACCAGGGGTTGTAGAGCCTGGCCGAGGTAACAGTCTGTTCCCCTTTGCTTTTCTTTTTTCTTTTGTTCTTTTTGTTGGGTACTGATCGTCTTCTTGTTGCAGGTCTGCCTTCATTTTATTGGTCTAGGGGATCAGCTGAAGTTGATACTGGCCAATATGAACAAGCTGGAGACTAAGAAAGACAAGCTTCAGCAAACTGTCGCCAATGCCATGGAGAAGCGCTGCGAGATACAGCAGTTCTTCGCGGACGAGCAAAAGTTTCGCAAGGAGGCCAAAGAGAACCTAAAGAAGATGTAGGACCTCCTTGCCAAGGAGCAGACTGAGAGGACTCGGGTCGAGAGCCTTGTTTCCGAGGCCGAGTGACGTCTCCATCAAGCCAGGGAAGGGATCTATGAGGCAAACAGGCGGGCAGCCGAGGTAGAGCAGAGAGCCGAGGAGGCAGCTAAGAGTGTTGTCGAGGCCGAGTAGAAGGCAGCTGGTGCCTCGAAGAGGGCCCAGGAAGTAGAGAAGCGAGTTGATGAGCTGGCCGACGTCGCTTCAAGAGCTTATTTGGACGAGATCAAGGACACAATGAAGGCAGTCCTAGCAATGCTTTTGGACTTCAACTTTGAATCCCTAAAGGTGATTCCTTATACTCCCGAAGAGGCTACCGACTCTGCACTTCCTCCTCCAACTAGTGGCAAGGCTTAAGCCAGGCTACTTTCTCTCTCTTTTTTTTTGCTTTTTTGTATATGTATTCGGCCTGAGGGGCCATAATTTTTTGTAAAGCCAAAACTTTTGTAATGAATGAATATCAGTGGACATTTTTTGACTTCTGGTTTGCTTCCTGTGTACTTGTGCTGTGTTGTGTTATTTTTCCTTGTGTTTTTTGCATTTTCGTTGCACTTATGCTTTTGCTTTGTTGCCGAAGGGTCCTTGCCCCTCCAAGAGGGAAATCACAGCATAAGACAAGTGTGGTTCCCTTTAGTTTGTTCTACTTTTGCGTGTCAGGATCATGGCAAAGGGGTGGCCGAGGCGAAGCCTTCGAGGTTGAGCCAGGGCTTGCTTGGCCTAACACCCTTTTGAGCATTTACTTAGGCAAGGCCGAAGAGGCCTGTGATGGGGAGAGGCTGAAGCGGGGCGTGAGGCTCACTTGGCTCTCTTCCCTTTACTTAAGTAGATAGCAAGATGACCTGTCGATTTAGAGTGGGGCCAAGGTTTAGCTGGGGCTCACCTGTCTCTTAATCTTCTAAGTGTTGGCTTTGGCGGGCCGAATTGGCCTGCCGTATTAAGAGGTTGCTGAGATAGAGCCGGGGCTCGTCTTGCTCTATGGAGCCTAGTTTGAACAGGGGCTCACCTGGCTCCCATATCCCCACGTATTAACCTTGACGAGGCCAAGGTGGCCTACCATATTGGGGGATGGCCGAGACAGAGC